CTCTTACTCATTAGTGATTCCCAAAATCTAGCAAATAAGGCCAATTCCTCATTGAGTTTTCTTAGCTGCCCATCCAAATTTGAGAAGGCGGTTAAGGTTAGCAAGAAAATCAAATCGCAGCTCTGCCACGGACTAGCTGTACACAATCTCAGGCAAACTGCACAAACATCTCTAACCCTCAGGTTTACTGTCGACAAAACTGAAAGTAATCACAGTGCTTGCCTCATGGTAATAATCTGAAGGACTAAATGAGACCGTGTGCGTACAAGTGTCCACACAATCAGCGCTGGCTACTGTTCTTCTTTTATAATCTTGTTAAAATATGTTTTTATTGATTTTAGACAGAGAAGAAGGGAGAGGGACAGAAAGATGGAAACATCGATGAGAGAGAAACATTGATCAGCTGCCTCCTACACAGCTTCTACTGGGGATCGAGCCTGCAACCCGGGCATGTGCCCTGACCAGGAATCCAACCATGACCTCCTGGTTCAGAGGTCGATGATCAACCACACTGAGCCTCACCCAGGAGCAGCGCTGGTGATTGTTATTCCCATCATGCCCTCTGCAGCAGACACAGAACTGGCACTGTTCCGCCACCAGCTACTGCCCTGCAGTGCGTGGCTCCTGCAGCTGGAGCCTGGCACCAGCAGAACAAGGAGGGCTGGGTCCCTGAGACTGAATGGTTTCCCACGTGGACATGGGACGGTGGCTGCAGCAGCGACAAGCTGGACATGGCCAGGAAAACACTGGGTGTGGTTTCAGTGGGACAAGCTGGAATTCTGCCTCAGCACCTTCAAAAGCTCTATGACCACAGACCGGTAACTTAACTTTGCTCAGCCTCATTTTCTCTGTGGTGAAAGGGGAATGTCACACTGATCCTTGCACACCAGCTCAGTGTGCTGTCCACCATCCTTTCCTTCCCTCCTCCTCATCCTGTAACTTTCTAAGGATAAGTGCCTGCTGGTATAGGCATGAGCTTGTCAACTGTGATAACCAGAAAACAGCATGGGTGTTTTATGAGAAAATGTAGGTTGATACAGGAAGTGGCTTCTCTCCTGAATTAAGAATGAACCAATGGGCAGCTGGATAATGAGATAATGCCACCTTTCAGATAAGAAGTGAATCTGAGAAACTGTGCAATAAAAGACAAGCTGCTGCACGGTGAACACAGCCTAAGAAATGCAAACCTGAGTGGCTATGTGATTCCTATGCTAGTTTATTTTCATTGACTTTCAAGTAATCTTTCATTCAAACCAGGTTTCCAATACCCTGGGGTAATTTCATTTATCCTTCAGCATGTCATAAAAATTTCAATTTCAATATAAAATTAATTTCCATCTAATTTACAACCCTGGAAAAAAGGGAGGTTCAAAAGAAAAGGATACCAAAAAACAAATAAGGAACTGAACACCATGAAGTTCAGAAAGTGCCGTTCTCCGGGGAACAGCCACGTCTCGCCCTTCCAACGAGGCCAGCGCCGAGGGGTGTGAGCAGGCCCTGGACGCCGGCGGGCCCTCCCCCTGCGCTGGCTCCTCTCAGACCGAATGAGGCCGGCTGCAGGGTGAGCAGAAGGCAGCCATGTGGTAAGTGAATGTGGCACCGTCCAGGCCAGAGTCAGGCTCACAGCTGAGGGTATCAGAGGTTCAAGTAACTCGGTGTATAAGGAACAATTTAAAAGGTGTTTTTGAATCCATTAAATGTGCCCACCCCCACCACTCCTTTCCTCTCTACCTACCCCCTCATTGCCCAAATTTTACCCAATTCCCTCCTAACCCATTTTGGGGAAGCTAGGTAAGAAAGAACATTAAAAAAAGAAAAAAGACGCTAGGAAAAAAAGATGACTTGCCTATTCTACTGACCATTTCCCCCCATTCTAAGGAATGTGCTCGGAGAGATGCCCATCACAGAAGTCCCCGGCTCAGGGGCTGGTGCTCACTCAGAGAGGACAGGAGTCAGAAGAACTCATGCTTTGGGTGATGTCCTGACCACAGGCCACTCAAGCCTGCAGACAGTATCCTCCCCACAACCCCACCAAACCATGGGCTACTCCTCAGCAGAAGCTGTGAACCTTGCTGTATAAAGACAAACACGATTACACATGAACACAGCCCAGACCCCAGAGCCTCAGGGTGCCATGTGCTCTGTGCGGCAAGGAGACTGCTAGACCCCAGGACGGACGCCCGGCTGCACACACCAGGCTGCTCAGAGAGCCCCTCCCGCCCCCCTCCCTCCAGCCCTGGCCATCCTGAGAAGACACAGGCCAAATGTTTGCACCTTCACTGTGTCCAATAGAGAAACAAACATAAGAGATCATCACTGACCCAAGACTCCTGCAATGAGAACCCGGCCTGCATTGCCCAGCCAGGCCCCTCAGCTGGTGGGGCCTCCCAGGCCATCAGTGTAGCCCACCATCCATGCACACACCTCACAGATAACTGTCTGAAGACTCCAGGGAAGAAAACCCTTTTACCCATGTGGATCTATAGCCTATAGATGGTAAACTTTTCATTCCAAAGCAAATTTCAACACAAGTGCCTCCACTTTTCCGACAATTCTCTTTGGCTAAAATTACCCTTGAAGCAATGACCATTTTCTCCAGGCTGTGTGTACATCAGGCCTCAAATCAAACAAAAAATAATGTCTACAAAAAAATGTCCGTGGGCTAAAAGCTAACTGGCCTGCCACTCAGGAAAAGAGGACCCTTCGCAAGTGACCTGGACAGAAGCAGCAGATGGATGAGGACTGGCCAAGCTGAAGAACCACACCAACACCTGCATCAGGACAGCAGCTTACACAGAAGCTTGCGGTGTGTGCCAAACCTGGGCACCCAGCCAGGACGGCACACGCACAGTCAGGGGCACCGATGGCCATCACAGCTTTCAGACTCCACTCCCAGGCAGCTCCGTCTGCAGCTGCTGGCGGGGCCCTAAGAGAGACAAGTTCCCTGTCTCTAAACAGCTGTCTTGGTTTCATTTCAGCACCTCCTAACAGTCCCCCAACCTGCATGTCCCACAATCGCGGAACCAGGAGTTGCCCGTTTCGCGCCCACTTTCTGCCACACTACCTGCACCGCCGGTTCCCTCGGAGACAACACGGTGCCTCACCCTCAGTAGGTACCCAGTACCTACCTGCTAAGTGACTCAAGGGACCCTGAGGACTCCCCACTCTGCAGAGGAGACATGGCACTGCAGGCTGTCTGTTTCCACGGTCACCAAGCTGGAACTAGGAAGTGGCACTGGGAAGCCCACAAGAATCGATCTCTCATTCGAGTATTCTGCCTCTTGGCTTACAAACATAAAAAGGGAAGGGAAAGCGCATTTCTACAAAGTTAGTATCCTTTTCAATATATTCTACTGAAAGTTTAACCAATTTCTGAGATCTGTTTTCTTCTTTCCTTTCTCAGGTGACTTCATGCTCCTTAACCTGATAAGAACGTGTGTGCGTACACCTGTGGAACACCAGATTCCTCACAGAAGTGCTAATTCATGACTGAAGAGCTGTTATTAAAGTCAGATTTTTCAACACACCAAGAGGGAGGTGGGAACGGCACATAAACCAAACAAGAAAGGTGCGGGCCTCCCAGCCCCAGGGACCAGTGCAGCCCTGAGCATCCCAGGCTGTGAGGTGGAGAAAGTGAAGGGCAAAGATAGAGAAAGGGCAGAGGGGCCCAGCCGGTGTGGCTCAGTGGTTGCACGTCAACCTATGAACCAGTAGTTCCCGGTTCGATTCCCGGTCTGGGCACATGCCCAGGTTTCGGGGTCAATCCCCAGTGTGGGGCATGCAGGAGAAAGCCGATAAATGATTCTCTCTCATCACTGATGTTTCTAACTCTCTTTCGCTCTCCCTTCCTCTCTGAAGTCAATAAAAACATATTTAAAAAAAAAAAAAGAAAGAAAAGAAAGGGCAGAGGGTTCCCAGCAAAAGGGATTATCTGGATCCCGTCCTCTTTGTGATGAGAGAAAATGAGGGTGTCTGACCTGCCTGCATTCCTTATTTCTAAACCTGACTCATATATTCCAAGTTCAGAGTCAAAAAATGGTAAATAAAAATAACACAGGCATATGAAACCTCTTCAATAAGTTTATCTGATGGTAACTGGCTGGTTTCAGTCCCAAAGTGGAACAGTGGGGACGTTTTGGCTGTTATGCTTGATTGTTTTTAAACGGCAAATGCCCAGAGCATTTATTCCACAATTTCTTCAAGGTGAGCAAATGGACCTCTATTTCAGGAGCCTCCCTGCTTTGAACAGCTCCACTCACTGCAGTCTAGACCAGTGGGTGCCAACCTTTCAGACCTCAGGGACCACTGGTTGGCAACTGCTGCTCTAGACTCTTCTTCAAGAGTGAAAAAGTAAGGTTTACTATTCACATACAGTACCCACCAACTTTCTCTGGAAAACCCCATAAATTACTCAGATGCTCTGCTTTACAACAGGTTGTGGCTGTTCCTTTGAATTATACGATCTGAAACCACTCGTGCTAAACACACGCGAAAGAGACATTCAGATCCTGGGCTTCTCCACAGAAAACGCCTCTGCCCTCACTCCGACAGTGCTCAGTCTCGGGGCCCGCGGGCAAGCAGCTCACCTCCGAGGGCTCCATTGCTCAAAAGGCTGCTGCACCTGGGATTAAAAATGGCGGCGGAGTAAGTGGATGCTGCACGGACAAGCTTCCAGGACCAGACTGGAATTACAACTAAAATACAGAAAAACTTCATGAATAATCAACAGAAGACTCACTGGAGACAACCCTGATACCCAAGGACAGGAAGTGAAGGCCACATTGAGACTGATATCTCAGCTGTTGGGGGGTTGCCACTGAGAACTCTGGGATCTATCCACAAGCTGGGCTCCCAGCAGAGAACAACAGAACTGAGAAGGTGCCCACATAACACCTGGCTGTGAAAAGCAGCAGGGTTGCTGTCTGCCAGGGAGACATGGCTGGAAATGCAGGCACCCTCTTAAAGGGCCAGTGCACAAAATTCCCTGTGCAGCCACTCACCTTGGGCTCCGGCAGAGGGCGGGCAGAGTGGACGGAAGCTGTGGGAGCAGAAGCCAGGGTTGGGGGCTCTGGGTTAAAGCTCAGAAGGAAGACACACAGGTTTCCTGTGCTGAGTCATTCCATCACTCTGCAGAGGTCATGTTTCTCACACAGACATTTGCTATACAGGCGACCTTGCCTAGCGGGGAAGACAGATGACCCACCCTATTGGAAAGTACCTTGCCCCACTGTGAGAAGTTGCTCAGACCCATTAAGAGACTGAGAATAACAATTAGCCTCCAGGCAGAAAAAATAGCTCCATCCTGTTGAAAAAAACTCTTGGCACACCTGTGGACGATTGCTTGAGGGCAATTCAAGACAAAATCCTATCGGTCTGTAGACAGAGGCCCTCTGAAGACTTTGAGTCTTTGCTGGATATAATTAGTCAGAAATACCTAATTAGTTAGAAATACCGTTTGACACTATCCTGCAATAGAGATTGAGAGGTGTAGCAGATCTACCTAATACAGTGGTTCTCAAACTATGGGTCACGACCCCTTTGGCGGTCGAACAACCCTTTCACAGGGGTCACCTAAGACCATCCTGCATGTCAGATATTTACATTACGATTCATAACAGTAGCAACATTACAGTTATGAAGTAGCAACAAAAATAATTTTATGGTTGGGTCACAACATGAGGAACTGTATTTAAAGGGCCCAGAAGGTTGAGAACCACTGACCTAATACATATTACAAACCCAAACGGACACCCAAAATGAGGAGACAAAAAAAAAAAAAAAAAAACCCCCAAATGAAAGAACAAGGGAATACTCCAGAAGAAGACATAAATGAAACAGAGATAAGAAATTTATCTGATACAGAGTTCAGAATAATGATGGCAAAGATGCTCAACAGCGTGAGAAAAAATACAGTAACTATGAAACAGAAATAAAGAATGACATAGCACAAATAAAGAACACATTGGAAGGAATACACAGCAGATTAGGAGAGGCTGAGGAACGGATCGAATTAGAAGACAGGGTTGAAAAAAATCACTCACTCAGAGAACCAAAAAGAAAAAACAATTAAAAAAACAGGAGGACAGCTTAAGGGAGCTGTGGAACAATGTGAAATGTAACACTATTAGAATAGTAGGTGAGCCAGAAGAGGCAGAAAGGGAGGAAGGGATAGAGTAGGTGTTTGGAGAAATAATGGTAGAAAACTTCCCTAACCTGGTAAAGGAAAAAGTCACACAAGTTCAGGAGGCACAGAGAACCCCCAGCAAGAAGAACCCAAATAGGCCACGCCCACACATCATAATTAAAATGCCAAAAATTAAAGACAAAAAGAGAAGGTTAAAAGGAGCAAGAGAAAAGCAAACTGTTACCTACAAAGGAGCTCCCATAAGGCTGACACCTGATTTCTCATCAGAAACTCTATAGACCAAAAGGGAGTATCATGAAGTTCTCAAGATACTGGACAGCAATGATCTGAAACCAAGATTACTCTATCCAGCAAGGCTATCATTCAAAATAGACAGTGAAATAAAGAGCTTCCCAGACTAAAAGAAAAAAAAGGCTAAAGGAGTTTGTCACAACCAAGCCAGCATTACAAGAAATGCTAAAGGGACTGTGTTCCAATTTCTATGGGAACGTATGCACAGGTGACCCAGAGCGCCTCATTTGGATATACCAATACAGACGTCAAAGGGTACTTACTATTAATTAATATGGCCGAGCTTAACAAAAAACTAAGAAGAGAGAAGACACAGGGGATTAACAATGCAAGAAATCACACAGGTTTATTTACCAGAGAGATGATGGGTTTCAGTCCTTGGCAGGCCACCCGGAGACACTTGCTGACAGAGACACACGGAGGTCGTCAAATACGCTGGAGCTCGGTCTCTTGACTTGAAGAGAGGCCTCAACAGTCTGGGCTCAAAGGCAGAGCAGGAATGGCAGTTTGGCAGTTTCCAGGGGGGAGGGGAACGGCTGTCTGTGGAGGGCAGACAAACGTCTGTCTGCTGCTGTGAGAGTCCTTCTTTTATGCCCCATGGATGGGCTTCTTCAGTGTCTCATATCAGTGTGCTCCGGTGGCCTTCTGGGCTTATCAGGATACACACGCAGGGGGTTACAAGGTACTTATCAGGAGTGCACACACAGGGAGTTGTTGGTCAGGAGTTACAAGTTATTTGTCAGGAGTTAACATGCAGGGCGTTACAAGTTACTTATCAGGGTCTCACACACACACACACACAAATTAAGTTCCTCTTCGAAGTAAAGTTTAAAATTCACTCTAATAAAAAATATGAAATTTGATTATACTATCTTATACTAACTAAACTTATTACTATAACAGACTGCTGTAATGAGAAGAAGAAAGAGAGAAACATAGGCATATAGAATTGAAATGGCAATAAATACTTATCAATCATAACCTTAAATGTAAGTGGATTAAATGCTTCAATCAAGAAGGCATATGCTAGCTGAATGGATACAAAAACATGACCCAACTATATGCTGTGTACAAGAGACCCACCTCAGAATAAAAGACTCACACAGGATGAGAGTGAAGGGATGGAAAAAAATTTTCTATGCAAATGGAAAAGAAAAAAAAAAAAACTGGGGTAGCAATACTCATATTCAACAAAATAGACTTCAAAATAAAGGCCATCACAAGAGACAGCAAAGGTCACTGCATAATACTAAAGGGATCGATCCAACAAGAGGATATAAGCCTGGTAAACATGTGCATTCAAAATAGGAGCACCTAAATATACAAAAAAAAACTTCTAGAGGACTTTAAGGGAGCGATCGACAATAATACAATCATAGTAGAGGACTTTCAACACCCTGCTAACTTCACTTCTTCCAGACAGAAAAATTGACAAGGAAACAGTGACTCTAAAGGACACACTGGATCAGATGGATTTAATTGACATTTATGGGACATTTCACCCCAATATACATTCTTCAGAATATACAGTCTTCTCAAGTGCACATGGGTCATTCATAGACATAGACCACATGTTAGGACACAAAACAAGTCTCTACAAAGTTCAAGAAGACTGAAATCATAACAAACATCTCAGATCACAGTGGAATGAAATTAGAAATCAACTACAGTAAAAACACTCAAAAACATTCAAACACATGGAGACTAAATAGCATGTTATTAAACAATGAATGGGTTACCAATGAGATAAAAAAAAAATAATTAAAAACCTCCTGGAAACAAATGAACACACTAGTACAACAACTAAAAATCTCTGGGACACAGCAAAAGTAGTCCTGAGAGGGAGGTTCATAGCACTACAGGCCTACCTACAAAAAAAAAAAAAAAAT